CGGTGGCCTCAGGATGCAGGGTACACAAGCATTCTGTTGGGCCTGCCCAGGAGCTGTCTCGGGGGGTTGTAGGCTGGTGAGGCCTGGACAACTCCTGAAGGCTGCCTTGGCCCGTTGGTGGCCGCCCCTGCAGCCCATTACTGGAAAGTTGCTTCCAGGTCTCTGACTGTCCCCACCTTTCCCTGTGCTCCTGGGGAGGGCCCCTCCATATTCCCTCCAGGCTGGAACTCCCAAGTTCTGGCCAGCCTCCCAGGCCTGGACCCTCTTCCTGGCTGTCCCAGCTCTTCTCTGTGTGTCTGTTAGGACTCTGGGGTCCTGACAGCTCTTCTTGACTCTGCCACCCTCCCAGGGGCTGCCTCAGGCCAGTACAGCCACTCTCGAGATGTATCTCTGTTTGAGCTTTCCTCTCAGGGGGCCGGGCTGATGTCCTGGCAGGTGCTGAGGACCTCTGGAGCCACCGGTCTCCCTCAGGCCGCTTCTCAGGACTCTTAGGATGTGGGGCCTCTGTTCGGGCTGGCTCCACCTGCTTGGTAGAGGGCTTGGTCACCTGTGGATGAGTTGAAGGGGTGGGGGGTGAGATTCCAGACCGCACTGGGTAGTCGCACAGTCTTAGCCAAACCCAGAAGAAGGGGGGCTGTGAGATGAAGTTGTGTCTTCCTAGACGCCTAGACCAAAGCAGGTGGAAAGCCTCAGCTCGCTCTCTGCTTCGCGCTCTCTCCTCTCACACAATCTTCTCAGTTCAAGAAAGAGAGCTGTAGAGAGCTGCTCAGTTTCTGGGCTCCCCTCCCTAAGATAGTCTTTCCAACCTAAGCTATCAGGTGCCCGAATTTCCACCGTGGTAACTGTACCATTGGGGTGTGCCTTGTCCTCTAAGTTTCATTTGAGATCCAATTCCTATGCTGGACAAGGCCGTCCCTGATGCACCTGAAGCTCCCCAAGATCTCAAGATAGCCTCCATGGGGACAGCTCTGAGGGGCTATCTTCAAAGGAATTGTATAGAGTCCTTCACATCTTGCCAAGAGCTTCGGGCCCTTGGAGAGAATGCAGTATGATCCCATGCTGGGGCCCTGCCTTTCTCATAGAGGACCTTCCTACCCAGGTTCCTACCTGCCTGGAACCAAGGCTGTGGGGAGAGGTGGTGACCGCTCATGAGGGCTGGTGCCTAGCTGTGCTCACCTGCCTGCTGGGGACGGGGCTGGACTGTCTTCGAAGTTGGCTCTGACCTTGGCTGGGCCGCTGTGACCGTCCCTTATCCCGAGCCTGGAAGGCCCCCGGTGCCTCCGACTTCCTATAAGTAAATATAGCTGTTGCAGAGGGCCTTTGGGACTCCATTCCAGCACCCAGCATTCCCAGCCCACCCCTAAGAAGAGACTCATTGAAAGCCCAAAGTGAGAATGACCCTCTCAGGGCCTCAGTTTCCCCTTCTGGAAAATGGGGACAGTCAGCACTGTCTAATCTGACTCCTAAGGCCATGAAGAGGACACAGGAGAGTGAAGGCAGCAGGGAGGGGAGGGGGCAGCTCTTGGCCATGGCTCCCTTGGGCCTTGTCCAGCACTTCCTATTACCCTCCAGCCACCCCTGACAAAGGTTAGACTGGTCCTTGTGGGAATTCAGATTTATTGAGCATCTATTGTGTACCAGGCACTGAGCAAAAAACAATCACAATGTTTAAGAAAATATTTATTGAACACTTCCTATGTTCTGGATGCCAAGCGTTTGTGTGCCAGGTCCCACTTAACCTTGCATGGCCTACTTTGGGGACAGAGAATGTTAGGTGCCTCATTCTCCCATTCTTTCTGCCCTTTCCCCAGCCATATGCAAATTGAGGATTTTCTCAAGCCAGCTGCATTGTGTGTTCTCCTTGGAGCTAACAGAACTCCAGCACTCAGCTCTGAAAACTTTGGACCTTCCTGCCATGGGCAAAAGAGCTCCTAGTCAGGTGGCTGCAAAGAGACATTCTCTCCAACCCAACAATCCCAAAAAGGTCACTAGCAAATATCACCATATCCAACAAAGATCACCTTCAGCCTGTGTCAAAATCCTCAGTTCCAGATACTCGTGCGGGTTAACAATGAGTGGCCATGGTCATATTCAATATGGCATCACTGTTACAAAGCTAGCAGGCTCTGGGCACAGTCTGCCCCCTCTCCTAGTAAGAGGCAAAATCTCAGCCTCCATGAACAGGTACCTCCTTTGGGGTCTGACTATTAGATTTCAGCTAAACTGGTCATGGAAAGAGGCATGTGGGAGACCCCAGCACAACAAAAAGAAGTAAAACACATGAATCAGTGGGGCCTTGACTGGTAACTGAGCAGAACCAGAAAGAAGAGGTGCTTTCAGCCAGGCCAGGGTGAGTCCCCAAAGGAGACAAGAGGGGAGCTGTGCAGGTGTTTGTGGGAATTGTCTCTCTAAAGTCTGCCTGCAGCTGAAGAACCACACAGAACATTGCAGAGGTTTGCAGAAGGAAAGGACCATGGCAGTGATGACACCTGTGATCCTAATGCTCAGGTGGGGCAGGGAGGCCAGGTGTTAAAGGGCATCACTGGCTACATGGAGAGTTGGAGACCAGCCTAGGCTATGTGAGATCCTGTCTCAAACCAACCGAAAGTGTGGTATCAGGCTTTGTTGATGTCATCAGAATTAGATGTGGGGGCTGGAGAGATGGCTCAGAGGTTAAGAGTACTGGCTGCTCTTCCAGAGGTCCTGAGTTCAATTCCCAGCAACCACATGGTGGCTCACAACCATCTATAATGAGATGTGGTGCCCTCTTCTGGCGTGCAGGCATACATGCTAGCAGAATGCTGTATACATAATTAAAAAAAATTTTTTTTAAAAAAGGAATTAGATCTGGTAGCTGTTGGAGTCCTCAGCAGTCCTAAGGTCCCTGGAATCTAAGCTTGAGGGCTCCATGATGAGGCTCCACCACCCTCGCCCAAGACAGGGTTCTTTGTGTAGTACTAGCCATCCTGGAACTTGTTCTGTAGACCAGGCTGGCCTTGAACTCGGAGATCCCCCTGCCTCTGCCTCCCAAGTGCTGGGATTAAAGGTATGCACCACTACTGCCACCAGTATTTCGAGGCTCCATTTTTAATCAAATTTGAGGCCTTTGAACAAGTTTCCCCCAGAACTGAGGTCTAGGAGTTTCTATGGAAGTCCCAAAATTCAATATATGCCAAACATGATGGGGACCTAGTAGGGAAGTACAAAGGTTGGTCTCTTTCAAGCATGTGTTTTCCATACAAACTCCAGCTTGCTCAATGTTCATTCCTTCCAATAGGTCTTCTCTTATCCTTCAGAAACTTTGAAAGACAGACTAAAGAACCCTAGGAGATTCTGAGGCCCTCCATGGGAACCCAGCTCTTCTGAAATAGGACCCACCCAGAGCCACCTCTTCCTCCCAAGGGTTGATGTGGCTGCACCTTGGATAACTAAGGAAATGAATTTCCTGTGGGTACTCTGGTGGGTGTGTGGGCCTCCAAATGGTGTCAAAGAAGCAACAGGGCAGGATGGCACACACTTTTAATCCCAGCACTGGGAGACAGAGGCAAGTGGATCTCTATGAGTTACAGGCTAGCCTGGTCTAAATAGCAAGTTCCAGGACAACTAGGGCTACATAGTGAGACCCTCTTTAAAAACAAAACAAAGACACCGTGTTTAGCAGATCCAAGGAAGAATGTTTCAGAATTCAGGCATTTAAGGGGATGGAGGAAATTGTAGAGTTCCCACAACAGGGGATGGCTAAAACACCAACCAAACGCCTAAGTCTTTGACATGATCCTTCTAGAAAAATATTCCAGGCTCAGAACAATGCTTGGGCAAAGTAGATGCTCAATAAATATTGTCAGAAGAGTAAATGGAAGACAATGAAAATGCAACTCAACACACCCCCATCCCCTCTTATGCAAATGCATGCTGTCATTGCTCAGAGGCAAATGGTATTCCACCTGGAAATAGGAAAAATACCCCAAAGTTATAAAACAGATGGGAAGACAATATACTAGGATGGGGGCCAGAGTGAACAGAAGCAACTGTGTGAGCCCAGTGTGGTGCTGTATGCCTGCAATCCCAGCACTCAGGACCCTGGGGCAGGAGGACCTAGAGACCAACGCCAGCCTGGGCTACCCTATTTCACAAATGAGTAAGTACAAGAGAGAATATGAGTAAGCTTATTTGTGAGTTGTGTTACAGAGCCAGCATGGTTGTGCACTCCTGAACACCTAGCCCTTGGGAGAGGAAAGCAGGAAGATCTGGAGTTCAAGGTCATCCTTAGCTACACAGTGACTTCAGTTCCAACCTGGGCTGCAATGAGACCCTGTATCGAACCCATTCCTCCCTCCAAATTAGTTTTCCTTTTTTTAAAGATCAAAGAAACAAGCTAGTGTGAGGGTCAATGAAGGTTCTCTCTTGGCTAGTGAATGGATCCAGTTTACTGGAATAGGCGTTCCAATAAGAAATAAGACTTCTCACTGGGCAGCGGTGCACACCTTTAGTCCCAGCAGGGAGGCAAAGGCAAGGGGATCTCTGTGATCCAGGCCAGTGTAGTCTACAGAGTGAGTTCCAGTGTTACACAGAGAAATCTTGTCTTGAAAAAACAAAAAACAAAAAACAAAAAAACAAAAAAAGGAAGGAAGAAGACTTCTAATTCAATTCAAATTTATAGAAATGCTGCCTCAGGGGCAGTGAGGAGAAGACTCGTATGTGCTGGAGGCAGGCAGGGCCTTTAATCCCAGGACTTGGGAGGCAGAGGCAGGCAGATCTGCGGTTTCACCAGCAGTCTGTTCTACAGAGCAAGTTGCAGACAGCCAAGGCTACAAAGAAACCCTGTCTTGAAAAACCAAAAGACAAAAAGGGAGGGCTGGAGAGATGGCTCAGAGTTTAAAGTCACTGGCTGCTCTTCCAGAGGTCCTGAGTTCAATTCCCAGCAACCATGTGGTGGCTCACAGCCATCTGTAATGAGATGTGATGCCCTCTTCTGGCCTGTAGGCATATATGCAGACAGAACACTGTATACATAATAAATAAATCTAGAAAAAGAAAAAAAGTGGGGGCAGGGTTTTGGAAATGCTCTAGAATTACCTCACAATGAGGGCTGTCCCACTCAGTCAAATTCTAAAACCCACCAGATAATACAGGGAAAGTTTCCAGATTACACTCCTCCCCCCCATTTCTCTTGTCCCTAGTGGAACCGTGTCTCTAAAAACTCAGGGGCTAGCTCTGCTGATGAAGAGAAATCCCAGCCAGAGCAGGAGGGGATGTTTTCCCTCTCCCATGTGACATGCTACTGGTTCCTTAGGACATTCACAGGACACTAGGACTTGGGACTCTGTAGCCATGTTCCAGGAAAGTAATGTCTAACTTCTGAAAGTCTGTGACTCTAGGAGCTCTTATGGAAAGCTCTGGAATGAGGGCAGAGTATTTTCTTGGCAGGCGCACATCTTGGGATCCATCCCCAGCACCCAGAGGAATAAAACACAGGGCATTTATCTACTTAGTTCTGTGGCTCAAACCCAGGGCCTATGTGTGCTGCCAATCATCCCACCACTGAGCTAAATCCCCAGCTGCTGGCCATGTATGTAAAACAAACATGTCTGTCCTCCTGCAATGTACAGGGAAAGAGTCATAGGTACAGGGAAGAAACATTACTCTGAATCAAACCCTTCAAGAGTTTAGCCTCATTGAAATTAATGTGCTTTTAGTTTTCCCATTTGACAGGCGAAGAATCTGAGGCCTAAATAGATTAAATTGCTTTAAGCAGGTGTCACAGGATACAGGGTAGCTTTGACCCCAGATTTGAACTTAGCCTGCCAGACACCAGATTTTTTCACTACTTGGCTACCCATTGAGTTACTTCAGCCTCAGAAAAAAACAAAAAACAAAAAACAAAAAACAAAAACAAAAACAAAAAAACATGCTAATTACGGAGAGATGCAGTGGCTTGCCCAAGACCGCACAGCCAGTGGGCAGCAGGGCTTGAACTCTTGCTTCTGGAACTTTCCAACTGTTCTCCTCCCCAACCCACCTGGCTGCCCCTGCCCTGGCTCACCTGCGCTCTTGCCCGAAGAGGCGCTCCACCTCTGCCCGGCCAGGGCTGCGGGTACGGCCCTCGTTGCTGCCCTGTGCTTGGGGCTCTGGCCCCCTCTGGGCCAGCCTCCTGGGTGGGGGCAGGTCAGCCAGCATGGTGTACTCCTCCCTCTCCAAGTTGTGTCTGGTTTCCCCTGGGGGTGCTGAGCCCCGAGAGCCTGAGCTACCTGGGGGAGGGGAGGGGGCCAGGAGACCTAAATCACTGGGTGGGTGGCGGGGAGGAGAGGATGCCCTGGGCGCATCCCGATGGCCGATGCATACTTGAGGCAGCAGCAGTGGGGAGCCGCGCAAAGAGTCAATGGAAGGGGCAAGACTCTCCATACTGGTCCCAGGAGGATCCTGGAAAAAGAGCGAAGGCTCAGGGGCCTGGCGTGGTGGGGAAGAGAAGGAGGGAGCATCTCTGTGCCCAATACATACAGGAGGGGGGATGTGGGGAGGCTCATGCAGAGAGTCTGTGGAAGGGACAAGGCTCTCTGTGCTGGCCCGGGGGAGATCCTGGAAGAAGGGCTCTGGAAACTGGCGTGGTGGGGAAGAGGCCCGGGGGGCATCGCGGTACCCAATGCACACTGGTGGGGGAAACTGTGGGGGATCATGCTGGGGGGACTCATTCTCAGCGTCTGAGGTGTCTGGGAGGAAGGGAAAGGGATCAAATTGGGTATGACGAGGTGGTGAAGTGGCCCGGGGGGCATCACGGTGCCCAATGCACACTGCAGGTGGCATGTAGGGGGGTTCGTGGTGGGGTGATTCGCTCTCAGACGAGCGGGGATCTGGAAAAAAGGGGAAAGGGTCATACTGAAAATAGCGAGGGGGTGAAGAGGCTCGAGGTGCATCCCTGTGCCCAATGCACACAGCGCATGATGGCTGGGAGGGCTCTGAAGGGGTCTGGGGAACCCCTCGTGGTGCCGGGTGCAGAGGCGATGAAGTCCGAGAGGCACTGGGATGGCCTGGGTTATGAGAGGAGGAGGCCAGGGAGGGCAAAGAGTGCTGGGGAGGGTCGTGATGGGCTAGTTTGGTAGGAGCTGAGGTCTGAGTCCTGTCCCCTTGGGTTGGCCGGAGAGAAATGGATGCCCAAGGCACCTGGTTTTGTTTGGTGCGAGATGGAGATGAGGTTCGAGGACCATCACTCTGGGTTGGCCGAAGGGGAAAGGAGGCCCAAGGGATATCTTTGTTGGTCCGGTGGGGAGAAGGGTTCCTGGAGCTACTCCCCTGAGTGGCATGGCGGGGAGATGATAGTCCTGGGTTGTCCTTTTGGGTGCAGCCTTGAGAGAAAGGCCTAGGGTTGTCTCGTTGGAAGGAAGACGGTGGTCCTGGGTTGTCTCGTTGGGTACAGGCGCTTCGGAGATGCTCCCATCTGCTGCAGGAGGCTGAAGTCTTGTTTCCTTGGGTAGAAGGGGTCCTGGGGGTGTTCTGTACTATGCAGAAAGTTCTGGAGTTATCCTTCTGGGTGGTTCTGTTGGGAGAGGAGCTCCTGGGATTGTCCCTCTGGGTACAGGGAGTCCTGGGGTTGTCCCTCTGGGCACAGGGAGTCCTGGGGTTGTCCCTCTGGGTAGTTCTGCTGGGAGAGGAGCTCCTGGGATTGTCCCTCTGGGCACAAGGAATCCTGGGGTTGTCCCTCTGGGTAGTTCTGCTGGGAGAGGAGCTCCTGGGATTGTCCCTCTGGGCACAGGAGCTCCTGGGATTGTCCCTCTGGGCACAGGGAGTCCTGGGGTTGTCCCGCTGGGTTGTTCTGTTGAGAGAGGAGGCTTGAACACAAGGAGATGATACAACATGGGGGCTGTTTTGTGGTGTGCAGGTCTTGAGGCTATCTGGAGTGGCTCTGAGGGGAGAGGAAAGTGGCGTGCTGCTTCTCTGGGTGGACATGGTTCTAGGAGTGTCCCTCTGGGAAACTCTTGAAGGAGAGGACATTCTGGGACCACTCCGCTGTGTGGCTAAGGTTCTGGGAGTGTCCCTTTGGGCGTTTGGGGGTATAGAGGAAGCTTGGGAGGTTTCTTGTGCAGAAGCATTCTGGAAAACACCCCTTTGAGCAGAAGAAGCCTGGTTGGTGGTCCGAGGTCCACTCGGTGGTGTCCCGGAGGAAGCCTGGGTTTTCCCTGAGCGATGTCGTTCCAAGGAGAAGTAGCCACTTTCTGCCCGCAGCTTCGCCCAGTGCTGGCCAGCACTCTGTCCACCACTGCCAGAATCTGGAGAGAAATGAGGAAGTTTAAAGTGAGGAGAGGGATCCAGAAGGACAGAAAATTCATGGCATTCCCCCAGCCTGCTTCTAATAGGTTTCAGTGTCTAATCAAGAGGTGCTTAGGCTCCTGTCTGCTGCCAGGCCAGGGATACACAATGACTGGTGGAGCGATGCCAGAGAGAGAAGGCCATGGATATGTCCAAGGAGATCAATGCCGTGGAGCACAGAGATGGGGAGGTGGAATGCCCACAAGTCATCCCAGCTTCTAAGAAACCCCTTTCGTGGATGCCAGGGCATAGTGCACATGCCTATACCTGCACCTGAAGACTCTTCTTGCCCCTCCTGCCCCAGAGACTCTTCCCAGGCTGGAAATGTGCACAGATATGGCAGCTGTTGGTGAATGGGCACCTGTGTATCTGCACAGAGTACCTAACTGGATCACTGCATGTGACAGTTAATATTGTCAACAGGGTACATTCACCCGGGAACAAACCTCCAGACATGTCTGTGAGGGGGTTTCTAGACTGGGTTAATTAAAGAAGGCCCAGCCGAAATGTGAGCCTCTTATCCCCTGTGCTGGGATTCCCCAAGTGAATAAAAAGGAAAAAGCAAGCAAGGACCAGTGAGACGATGGCTCAGCGGGTCAGTGTGCTTTTGGTGATGTGAGTCTGAGCTCAGGATCCATGTGCTGGAGAAAACTGGATCCTGGAGGTTGTCTTCTGATCTTCATACAAACTCCTTGGCACATGTGCACATGCACATATATAAACTCACACCCACGCACGAATAAATAAATGAATTTTTAAAAAAGAGTGGACAGGGGAACATGCATTGGGTACCAGCATTCATCTACGTCAGTGTTTCTCAACCTGTGGGTCGCAACCCCTGGAGAGTCAAATGACCTAAGGTTATGGGAAAACACAGACATATACATTATGACTCAACGGTAGCAGAATTACAGTTATGAAGTAGCAACAAAAATAATTTCATGGTTTGTGGCCACTGTATGAGGAACTGTATTAAAGGGTTGCAGCATTAGGAAGGTTGGAACCACTACACTAGGTGCTTCCTGACTGCAGACCCTGTGTGACCAGCCATCACACTCCTGCCACCATGCCTCCCTGCCATGGGCATCACAGGGGTGCTGGTCTCAGGGATGAATGAGCTGCCCTCAACAGTAACGGCTATGTCACAGCTTCTGGCTGCCATGAACTTGGGGTCAACCTCCACCCTCTTCAGTCTCTTCACCACCAGCTGTGTGTGCCCCTGTCCCTCCTCTGGAAGTAGCAAGCCATGGCTGCCTTCATGAGGACACTTTCACATATGACCCCTGTCCCCTTCAATCTTGCTACACTGGTAGCTGGTATCCCAGAAGTCTGAACTCTCAGCACTGGAGTGGCCCTGGGGACCCCTAAGATGTCCTCTAAATCCACCTGCTTCCTCATCTCCAGACCCCACCCAAGGTCACTGTCATTTTTCCTTGGATAATCTCAGTAGCTCTCTCCCACAGCATGAGTGCACTTTTCCCAGAGTCGTTGTCCTTGCTCACAACCCTCGAGCAGAAGACAGGTAAGAAAGGAATGTCCGGGAAACTGTCATAGGAGGAAGACCAGGTGAGTAACGCAGTGAGAGACCCTGCATTATGTCCCAGGACAGAAAAAGAGTTGGGGACTGATGGCGACTGTAACCTTAGCACTAACCCTAAGACATGGAGGATGCTGGAGGATTGCCACAAGGTTGAGGCTACCCAGGGCTCCAGAGTTTGAAGCCAGCCAGGGCTACCTAACAAGATCTTATAAGAGACAAACAAAGCCAAAGAGACCATAGAAGGAAAAGGGGTGGATCTATAGTTTACAGTTGTGTTAGTATTCTTTTTTGTTTCTGGGGCTGGAGCCTAGGGTCTCACACTGCTAGGCAAATGCTGAGACACATCCCAGCCCTGACCAATGTCTATTTATTTATTTATTTTGGATTTTTGAGGCAGGATTGCTCTGTGTTAACAGCCCTAGCTGTCCTGGAACTCACTTTGTAGGGACTAGGCTGGCCTCAAACTCACAGAGTGCTGGGATAATGTTAGTTTTTTTAACTCCAGCCTCTGCATATGGTTGTACGTGAAGCTAACATCAGGGGTACCTGGGCAAAGGGTCCAATAGCCACTATAGCTACCATCTTGGCAAATCTAAGATTATTTCAAAATGAAAAGAAAGAAAATACCCTCTAGGGGCTTCCTGCTGGATCTTGCAAAGATTGTCTCGCTCCCCATTCCACCCTCACCCACTTGCCAGGGCCCAGCACCGCTCTTTTAGGTCCTCCAACACAACATAGGAGCCTCACCACACATTGCTCTTGCTGGTGCCTCTGTCTGAAGCAGACAGTGTCCTGGTACTTACATTTCCTGGCCATGGTCTGTCTTCCATGTACCTTCCTCTTGCCTAGTGCCTTGATTACCTGCTCTTCCGCTAGCAGCTCTGTGTGACAGGATCTTTTTGTTTTGTTTTGTTTTGTTTTTCAAGACAGGGTTTCTCTGTGGCTTTGGAGGCTGTCCTGGAACTCGCTCTTGTAGACAAGGCTAGTCTCAAACTCACAGAGATTGGCCTGCCTCTGCCTCCTGAGTGCTGGGACTAAAGGCGTGCGCCACCACCACCCGGTGTGATAGGATCTTATCTTCCCATGGTGCCTCTGGAACTTGCATAGGTGTGCAGCACACAGTAGGTGTGTGCAGTACACACAGTGCTCCCTCCTTTGCCTGCAGTAACCCTACCATTTGTGCCATATATTGGCTTAGATGCCCTAGGATGAGGCTTCCATGCAAGACAGGTACACAGCTGTGCTTGGGCAACCTGTGTCCTGTGCCCCCAGCAAACCGTGCTGACTGGGATGTACCTAATGGAGGCTCAGTCCCTGAATGCAATATTGCCAAGTGGCCACCAGGTGGCCACAGATTCTGACTTAATTAGGTCACAGAGAGGATACCACCCACTGCAAGAAAGCAAAGCCTGGCTGTGTGGAACCTGTCTGTAATCCCAGCACGGAGGAGGTGGAGACAGGAGGATCAGGAATTCCAGAGCAGCCTCAGCTACATAGAATCCAAAGTTCACGAGCCAGGGTCACAGGAACTCACCCCCACACCTAGCCTGAGCATTTTAGCATCAGGATTTGAAAGGGAAGTGATTGGTGTTATGTGCTATCCTGTCCCCAGGCAGCTCACGGGGACACTGAGTGGCCTCTTGGTCGCTGAAGCATCTGCAAAGCTCCTCAGCCTCAGGGAGCTTTTCCCTGCAGGTCAAGTATGGTCTGAGGAACACTGTGAGTAAGTACTCTGGTCATCCAGTCAGTTGGAAACCTCTCACCCTGGGATTCAGCATCAGCATCAGCCAGTAACAACCCTGAGCTGAGCTAGGTGTTATTAGGTGGCTCAGCTGACTTATCCTCTTTAGCCTCACTTTGCTCCAATGCATTCTGACTTTGCACTCAGCATAGGTTCAATGACATCACTCCACATCTCCTGCCCAAACCATGCTTAAGAGAAAAGAATCCCAACTCCTTGGTAAGGCTGAAGAGGCCCAGCACAGCCTACCCCTGTTGTGTACCTATCCACATTTAAACTGCTAACTGGCCACTTAGCCCTGTCTCCCTGCCCTGCTCTCCTCCATTCAAACAGCTCTCTTCTCCTGTGCTAGCCCTGAACCCAACTTTGGTGGCTTGAATAAAAATGATCCTCCATAGTGGGGCAATGGTGGTGTATGCCTTTAATCCCAAAACTCAGGAGGCAGAGGCAGGCAGATCTCTGAGTTTGAGGCCAGCCTGGTCTGCAGAAGGAGTCCCAGGACAGCCTGGGCTACGCAGAGAAACCTAGTTTTGAAAAACAAAAACAAAGATAAAACAAAATGAAAGAGCCCATCCCTTCCCTCATGCCTGTGTCTGCTTTGTGAGGTGCTGGTCTCTGTAGGGCAAGGGTCAGTGCTAACTCGGATGAGACCCCAGGGCATCTTCACCCAAACTTCACACATGCAGATTGACAAACCCCTGCAAGGACCATGGAAAGCCAGGATTGTCATCAGGGAAGGAAGAGGGCACTCTGGCATCCTAGCCCCAACTCCTGACCACACTGAAGGAGAAACCAGGGCCATTGTGTGCCCACCACACTGAACTCACATCCCAGCAAGACGCTGGCCAACCTCACCAACCTCCATGGACTTGGCATAACACCCATCTCTCTCTGTCTCTCTCTCTCTTTTTTTTTTTCTTTCTCAGAATATCACCCTGACTTCCTCTGGGGATTCTCCCCTCCTCCTAGCTCAGGCCATGAGGTTTGCATAGGAGGCCAGACTTAGTGATCAAGATGACCCCAATGGTTCCTGTGGGAACCCATTCTGAGACTTAACTGTAGTCACAGGAAAGATGTGCCCTTCTTCTGTGGGACACAAGCTGGTCCCTTTGGTGGTCATCATGCTATCATTACACAAGTGTTTGACTAAGAATGGAGCCACTTCAGCAGAAGGCAGAATGGAGAAGAGACTTGGGTACTGTCTGATCACCTGCGTCCAGCCATACCTTATCATTCTATTTATGCAGGGATTCCATTTGTGTTCAGCCAGCTTCAACCTCTTAGAACTTAGAGACCCTAATCTTTCAACTGAGGGAAAGTATCCTTAAGTTGGGCAGCACAGCACATTATATAAGAACTTCTATTATTAAGATTCACCAGGTGGTGGTGGTACACAATCCCAGCACTTAGGAGACAGAGGCAGGCGGATCTCTGAGTTTGAGACCAGCCTGGTCTACAGAGTAGGTTTCAGGACAGTCAGAGCTACACACAGAGAAACCCTGTTTCAAACAAACAAACAAACAAACAAACAAAAAACAAACAAAAAAAAAGATTCGGGCCCTCAGGGCCAGAAAGTCAACTCAGACAGAGAAACCCTGTTTCAAACAAACAAACAAACAAACAAACAAACAAAAAACAACAAAAAAAAAAGATTCGGGCCCTCAGGGCCAGAAAGTCAACTCAGTGGTTAAGAGCACTGGCTGCTCTTTCAGAGGACCTGGGTTCAATTCCCATCACCCACATGGCAGCTCACAACTATCTATAACTCCACTTCCAGATCTGACACTCTTAC